TGGGAGGTCCCATCTCTCACACTCCTCCGTGGTTCAGGTGGCTCAGGGGGTACAAAGCGCAGTGGTCCTACAGGTGGCTTGGCAAAGAGAATCCTCAGGAGAGTATGGACACCCACATCAAGGCCCTTCATGTGGACAAGGCTGCCTTGTATCTGGCCTGTGTGTGTGGTCTTAATGGGATTGGCTGAGTGGTCTGTGGAGGGAGGGGTGACATTAAGGTTGAACCTACACAATCAGCTGCTGGTGCAGGAGAATTGTCTGTATTCTGTCAATCATATTTTAAATAAATGCTGATTGGTCAGGCAGTAAGTATAGGTGGGAAAATCAGACAGGAAGTAGAGGTGGAGCAAAGAGAACAGGAGTATTCTGGGAAGCAGGAAGCTCCCTTCGCAGTTCTGCCCAGACTCCTCTAAGCTCCTATCACAACAGAGAGGCTTGGAGGGTTCAGGGAATGGGCACGCTCCATATGCTCACTGTTCAGGCTAGCTTCAGGCTTCTGCTTCTAGCGTTCTGGTATAATAATGTACATCTGCTCTACCCATGGTCGAACCAGTCTAGAGATGGCTCTTGACACTGATCCAAAGGGGTCAAGCACTATATCTTGGGGGTATTTACCTGGCACTAATTTGTTGGACACAGAATTCAAGGACTTTAGGCCATAGCAGTTTCCACTGAGATTTCTAAGAAAAACCTGGGAGACTCCACTCCAGCAACACTGCTAAGATCTTTCATGAGAAAGCCTTGAGATCTGTGAGCGGGACCATGGCTCTTGAGATTTCAGAACTGAACTAATATAGGCAGTTGGCAGTAGCAGTCTATGAAAGCCAAGAGACCACAGCAACACCTTGAGAAAGCAACTAGGTAGGCTGCGCCCAGTGTGCTGGTTTGAAGGAGAATGTCTCCATAGGCTCAGATATTTGAATATTTGGTCCCCAGTTGGTGGTTCTGTTTGGATATTTTTGGGAGATTCGGCCTTGCCAGGAGGAAGTCCCTGTGGAGGGGGCAGGGATTTGAGTTTTCAAAAGCTATACCCCATTCCCATTTCACTCTCCTGCAGTATGAGATGTGAGCTCTCAGCTGTATCTGACACCATATCTGCTGCTGAGTGCTGAGCTGTCCTCGTCATTCTGGACTTGTATCCTTCTGGAACCACAAGCCAAAATAAACCCTTTCTTCTATAAGTTGCCTTGGTCAAGGTATTTCATCACAGAAATAAAAAAGTAACTAAGACAGCAAGCAGTGTCATGAGACAAGGGTGGGAACACTGAGTTCCTGAGATCTGCTGCCTGCTCTCATGGGCACAGCATGCTGGACTTTCAGAGGTTTGAGTGGGCCCTGGGCATACTTTTCTATTTGCCTGTTCATTCTTTTTGCAATAGGAATGTCCTCATCAGGTTTTTATTGCTGTGAATATTTTTATTCTTGGAGGAGAAAAGGGTTTATTTCATCTCACAGATTACAGTCCTGAAGGGAAGGCAAGGCAGGGGCTCACGGCAGGAATTGAAACAGAGGTCATGGAAGAATGTCGTTTACTGGTTTTGATATCCATGGCTTACTTAGTCTGCTTTCTTTTTTTTTAACAGTGGTAAAATATACTTTTATTTACTTTTTTGAGTCAGAAGGTTGTAAAAAAAATTATTGCTAAAGTAGATACCAAGCAAAACAGAAAGGTACTTTAGAAGTCCAGTTACCTTGGAGTTCATTTAAACTAAGGAAAAGGTCATGTTTTCATGCAGTACATAATTGGTTCTTTAAATAACAATTGTGACAAACAGCAGAAAGAACTAGAGAATGCTTTCTTATATATAACAAAGGACCACCTGCCCAGGGGAGGCATTAGTGTGGGCCCTCCCACATTAGTTAATCAAGAAAATGCTCCCGCAGATTTGCCTACAGGTCAGTCTCCTAGAATTGATTTCTTGGTTGAGATTCTTTCTTCCCAGACGCATCTAGGATTCTGTCAGGTTGACAGAAATCAACTAGCGCAAAGAATGTTTACTCTGTGCCTGTTTCAACTTTAATTCTTAAAACCACCACACTTGTTTTTTACTTTAAAAACTCCCAGCTAGAAGGCATTTTTCTTGAATTTCAGAAATCACATGGGACTTTAGAATCATGCCCAAAGGAGTTAAGTTTTGGGGACTGAATGCACAACATGATCATATTCTGCACTGTGAGAAGGACATGAACCTGGGGACTGGAATAGAATGCACTGATTTGTATACATTTTGTACCCCAAAGATTCATATATTGGATGCGTACCATAAGGTGGGGCTGTTGAGGTGGTGGAACCTTTAAGGAGTGGGGCCTAGGGGGAGGTGGCTGAGTCATGGGAGCCTTCATACAGGGATTACTGCTGGAGTTTGAAACAGGTTAGGTCCTTCAGAGAGAGTGAGAGTGAGCTGTCAGACAAGAATGACTATGGCCATTCCTAGGGCATATTTCTTCTTCTTGAACCATGTGATTTCTCTCCATGTGCACCAACTGTGAAATGCCATTGGCAGGTTGTGACAAAGCTGGAAGGCCCTGAACAGTCTTGCTAGAGTGAGCCACCTAATCATGAATTTGCAAACTCTAAGCTGAGAGCTGAACAAACGCACTTCCTTTGACCATTATGTGGCTTCAGATATTTTGGTGCAGCTCTCCAATCCACTAAGATGTCCAAGTGAAAAGGCACACTCTCCTTCTGTGTCACATGCTGCTCACACAGGGTTTCACGCGGAATGAGAATATCGTTCATGCAATTTCTCTTCAGTCACCAGCTACAGAGGCCTCATGGCATGTTTGTTACAGCAATGAACAAAAATATGCTATAATGTCCATGCTTTTAGATTTGTTGCATTAACTGATTATCTTTGAAGTGAAGCCATCGAGTGACCTTAGGGAGCTCTAATACATCGTAATATGAGGTGATTGATCTCCTTGCTAGGAAGAGTTAAATTGTCGTGCCACAAATGGAGTGAATTTGTAAATATTTTGGTTGAAATCAAGGATCAAAGCCTCCATCTATTCTTAGACAACTCCTGAGCCCTGTGTTAAGGCCCAGGGACCCTGATGTTTCCTGTAGAAGAACCAGCAGTGGATGAGACAGAAGAGGGTGGGATCCACACTTGTGCTCTCTTATGACTTGTTAAAGATGCTCCTGATATGGGCTCAAGCCAAGCACTATTTAAAATGGGAGCCATTATAGAGGCTAGGTAGATCCCTTGTCTGCAAAGTCCCAGTGACTTTTGAGAGCAACGCCAAATCAGGTAAGGGAGAAAAGCTATTGGAGGTAAGGCATGAAGAACAGGCATGTGGAAATTGGAAAACTACAAAGGGATGGCAAGAATTGGGGCCTTCAGGCAGGACCCTGGAGGGGAGAGAATGAAGACTGAGGGACACATTCAGGAATTCTGCCCACTTAACTCCAAATAACAGGGAAACTGTTTGGCAGGCACAGAGTGCTGTCACCTGTCCTCTGGAAGCTAAGTCCCACCAGTGCCTCAGGTCAGGCCAAATATATGATGTCAAAAGCACCCTGGGACCTCTCAGAGCCAATTTCAGGTACAGGAATGAGCTCCTCTGTCCTTAAGAGTAGGTGACTTTTCTTGAATACCTCTGAGAAAGCCATGCTACCCCTCTGGCCGAGGAAATGATACATTAAAGGCAAACGGCCATGGAGGGTACCATCTTATTACTTAGTACTTGCGTATACCTGCAGCTCCAGCCACGAGCCCAGGAGGGAAAGTCCTGACTCCCCATTTAGAGGCTGCTTGCTGTCTGGCCTTGTTCATCTACAATTCTTCCAAATCCCTTCATTCTCAGCTCCTTCCTTGAAGGTGGACATCCTTAGCCTTTCTGCTCTACAGCTTCGGGGGGCACTCTGACTCTCGGGGAGCATCGCACAAGCGCAGGGTTCCTGAGCAATGAACTCCACCATTTCAGCCCTTCCTTGCCCATTTCCTTCCTTAGTCTCCACTCTGCCTCTGCACAATTTGGCAGCTCTGACACAGTTCCCGGTCACTCCCACGAAAGCCTCAACCTGAACCTGGGGGAGAAACAGGAGCCCACAGGCCACGATGGTCAGCCAAGCAGGAATTTGGATCAGTCCCATGGTTGGTGCATAGGAGTGTGTCTGAATCCTGTAGGCAGGTCAGGCTTTGCCAGAAGGCACCTGAGGACCAGAGCTGGAATTTGTACCCAGCAGACGGTGGGTGGGGGGTGGGTGGGGCCCTGGATGGGGCTTGGGCAAGGCCCTGGGTGGGGCCTGGGAGGTGGGTGCTTCAGGAGGGCAACACTGAGCAGCTGGGCTTGTGAAAGCCATAATCAGGAGACGGGGAACGTGGTTACTTTCACAAATTCTCCATTCCTTGTGGCCTCCTCTGAAGGAGCTATGTGGCATCTGTAACCCCTTCGAAACAGTGACCTGAACCTGAAATCTGCAGTCACAGCATTCATTGCCGTGACAGTCACAGGTCCAAACACGACATTAGGGATGAAAGGACAGAGCTGGAAGCTGTAACTGGAGATGACACAAGGGCTTCTCTGAAGTGACACACCTTCAGTGGCCCTCATTAGAGAGTGAACACGACTATTATGGGGTGAAGAGGCCCGGGAGAGCAAATACACATAGAGACACACATAAACAGACACACACACACACACACACAGAGAGAGAGAGAGAGAGAGAGAGAGAGAGAGAGAGAGAGAGAGAATAAAATAAAAAAATAGAAGTCTAGTGAGAACAGGTTTGTTAACTAACATAAGAAATCTCACAGCTTGGGAGGATGAGGCAGGTGAGTCTTGAGTTTGGTTGCAACATGGGTTATACAGGAAGATTGTGTGTCCACTAACAACATCCAAATGAGCAAACCATAGCAGTAATAATAATGACAACAGTAATGATACGAATAATAAAGGTTCAGGAAATATCTGCAATGAAATACAGGTGCACACTTGCCCCTAGTAATTCTTCCAGTTATCACTATCTCCTAAAGGACCCACAGCCTTCAAAATAGTCCTCTAGCTATGGGCAAGCACTCAAAACATGAGCTTATGGGTCACTAGCCCATAGTAACTACTGAAAGTCTAAAGAGTACCCCGGGATTGCTGTTGGCGAACTGTCCTGTGTATTCAGAGAAATGAGAGCCACATGAGAGAGGGTTTACAGTAGTGAGACTCAGTGCTGACCTTCCCTGCAACCGAGTCTCCTCAAAACACTTGAAGGCTTGGTATTGGGGGAAAGGTGCTGAACAATCAGTCACACGAGCTCCCGATACCAGAAGTCAGTGCTGGTTCACGTCTCACAAATGTGCCAAATGGAGACCACAGACACCAAGTGCGGGTAAAGGTCACAGAATTTTTCTTCAGGGAAAGGGGAGCGCCTGAGAATGAGGGGATTGCAAAGGCACAATGACTCTGAACAAGATCAACGGTCACCAGGATCCCACCCGACAGGGGGACCCAAAGATTGGTTTACATTGTCCTGCTTTTGCTTAGGGGATAAAAGGGCTTTGCAAAGAGGAGGGGAATGTGGGTGCAGCAGCATGGGCTGCCAGTCAGCACACTGTTGGTTGTCTGCCTCTGATTTTCCTTTAGGAATCAGGAACGTCTTCAGCTGATTTGGGCCAGTGGTTGTCAGCAGATACCAAGCTTACAGCAATGAAAGCTTTCAGGGTTGAAGCCCGAACCTGACTTCCTGGTGAGGTGCAGCCAACTACTGGTCTCACCAGGATTGCAGCAATGCATTAAGGCCCCAGCAAGAGCATCCCTCTGCTCAGTTTCTTAATCAAGGCTCAACATCAGTTTCATTTATTTCCTGAGTGGGCAACATTAAATCAGTTGTCAACTCAAATGTCATGGTGCATTATGATTTGTATTCATTCAGTGTAGTGGTTGGGAAAGGAGGACTTTGCTCTGGAGAAATGGCCCAAGTAGGGCAAGATAATGAGATGTAGAGGAATGGGGAGGTCCTAGGGCCTGAAGGACACAAGGCACTCACCACTCCTTAATGACAGAGAAAGTGCTTTGGGGGAGCAAAAGTACAGACAGAGCAGAATTTGCCACCTTTGTAAATTACAAAGTGCAAGAGACTTTGTACTGCTGGGGTTTAAACATTTATGGAAATCAGTCACATAGACTATCATGAAGATTAGGGGATGACCAGGGAGTCAAGAGGCTTCTGGAGGATCCATGAGGGCAGGGAGACAACTCCATACAAGGAGAAGCTTGCTCAGGATACCAGGGCCAAGGGTCTCTTCTGACGCCGCCCCATTTCCAGGACACATCCAATGGACAAACATTTTCACAGAGGTGATAGACTCAAGCAAGGGTGGGCTCCATACTGTCTGCAGAACTCCTGATCCAAAAGCAAACTTCAGAAAACGGGGCACTGAGAAACCCATGTAGTTCTGATCAACTCCCTAACTCCTGACCCAGATTGAAAATCCCATGAACATGTCTATTCTGCTTCTGCAGGCATTTGTAAAATTTCATATACAGGGAACATATATAGGGATTTTTTCTCATCAGTTGGCATCCTTTGTGACTGATGTCAGAGACCTTTATGAGCTATGGTCTGAAAGACATGGGATCAAATTTATTTGCTGAAATCTAATTTCTGATCCAGCGTTATTAAGAGTTACGACTCTTGGAAGATCCAAGATTGTCATTGTTTTCTCATCCTATCCAATGAGGATGCAATGTGAAATCTTTTGAGCCAGAGGCCCAACTCTCACCACAGGAGAAATCTGATGGCATTTGACCTTGGATTTCTTGGTTTATACACATGTATACAATTTCTTGCTATTTGTATGTTATGCAGATTATAATTTGTTTAGAGATGTTGGTCTTACTATGTTGCTCAGGCTGACCCGAAACTGCAGAAATCATATAATCTTTCTGCCTAGGTCTCTGAATAGCAGGACCCACAGATACCCATTACAGAGTTCAGCTTGCAATTTGTGAGTTTTTGGAACAACAACCTGACTGAACATATGAAAAAAATAGGTAGGACTCTGGCTATTAGGTTTCTTTATTGGCTACTTACAAATAAGAAGACGTGAGACTTGCTGAGAGAACATAGGATTTTGACAGTCCTATGTCCCATATAATAAATATCCAAAGCTTCTGTTTCATCTGAAGACTGTCTGGGGCTTGGAGAAGAGGAGAGAGAGGATGAGAGCAGACGAAGAAGGGAAGGAAAGGGCGTTGTCCCAGGGGACAGTGAAAGAAGATTGGGGCACTTAGGGGTCACACATCTACAGTCATGGGAGCATTCACGGAGTGAGTCTCATAAAAGGTGTCCCAGCATGTTGAGGAATGAGTGACACACCAAGGGTCTGTCATACATGCAGACCAAATGGACAATTGTAGAGGTGAGGATGGTGATGTAACTGTTAGCCTCTAACCGGGATTCTCTAAGAATGTAAGGCTGACCCCATGTATATTCAGCCCTTCACACCATTCCTCTCACAGGGTACTTCTCTTTGTAATTATCCTGAGACCCTTTTAGCTCCTGGATCTTCTCAGGCAGAGTCTGGGTCCAGAACTGCAGCCTTCTGGCCTTCAGGGCTCGGCCCACAGCAGGCTGGATGTCCAGCTGCAGGTACTGCTCATTATTGTCCATCACGGGCCAGTTGGGAAGACCCTCGCTGTTGGGGTTCCTGTGGATATGCCAGCCACAGGGAATGGTAAGGTCATGCTCAAACAATTTGTGATCCCCCAGTTTGTGTCAGGGTAGTAGAGTAATTGTGTCAATGGTTGAGGGGACTGATGAGGCACATGTCCTTATATAGGGAAACAAGTGTCACCTGCTAATGTCTGCTCCATGTAGGGCAAGACTACCTGGACAATTTCGGTCTCCCTCTCAGAGGCAAAATCTAAAGAACAACACCGTAGCTCCTGTGAGGTCATTGCAGTGTGACCAGTAACCAATATGTACAATGTACCTAAGTGTGCCCTGGAGTGAGGACGACTCTATCATGTGATGAGTTATCCATGCATGTTAATGAGGTCATCAACCACCAATGGAGCCCTAGATAGGGACCCACCACTGAGGAGGTTGAGGGAGGGGTGTGTTCTCACCCATGTCGTGCAAAGTTGGTCCAGTACTTCATCATTGTCCTGCTCAGCAGCTCCTCCTCCTCAGTGAAGACAGCTGTAGCTATGGGGAAGACAGAGTTTCAGGTCCCAGCCACACCATGCAGCTGCCTATTCATGCTCCTCCATCACCATCCTTCCTGTAGCCTGAACTCTCTTGAACTCTAGGCCTCTTTCCCTCCCCATTTCACTACCAAGGATCCAAGAGCCACCCACACCTCTAATTGAATGCCTCCAGGTTCAGTTCTGCTCAGTGTGTCCTCATATCATCTAACATAGGTGTGCTCAAATGATATGACTCCTATAGACTCATATGTTTGAATGCTTGGTCCCCAGTTAGAGAAACTATTTTAGAAGAATTAGGAGGAATGGCCTTGTTAGAAAAGGTATATCACCAGAAGTTGGTTTTGAGGTTTAAAAGTCCAGTCTAGTTCAGTTAGCTTTCTCTGCCTTGCTTTTGTAGATCAGAATGTAAACTTTAGTTAGCTACTGTTCCAGAGCCTTGCCTGCCTGCATGCTGCTATTCTCCCATCCCTGATGGTCATAGACTCTAACTAACCCATTGAAACTGTAAGCCCCAATAAATTCTTTCTTCTATAAGCCAACTTGATCATAGTATCTCATCGCAGCAAAGAAAAGTAACTAAGGCAATATAGTATATTTGAAAGGGTCCAGATTCTAATCTGTGTATTGTTTTTTGAGGTTGGAAAGGGTGCTTACTTGATTATGTCCTCTCCCAGAGCCTTGATTTTCTCGGCTGGACTGAGAGCTCAGTTACCCATCAGGTACCCACCTGTGACCCCATCCAGCTCATGAAACAAAAGAAAGACTCACGTTTCATGTCCAAGGGGGAGGACCCAAAAACAAAGGCAATCTCATCGGCATGGTCAACTTTCACATATGGTGGCCTTGTATCTTTGACGTAGCTGGGCACATGACAGAATTCATAAAAGTAGACAGAAGCAAGGGAGCCTAGAGGTACGGACACATGGTTACATAGTATTCTCTCACCTGTAACTTTCCTGCCTAACCCTTAGTGATAAGATAAGTCGGTATACAGTTATCTGGTATTATAATTGTCAAATGGGTGACCCTAGGCTGAAACACTAGTTATGGGAAAGCCTTTTGCTAAACAGTGACCCTGGCCTTCCCAGCTAAGTAGTTTTGGCAAATCAATAGAGTATTAACATGTGTCTTTGTTTGTATCTGGATGTCACTCCCCTCTCTTACACTACAATGAAGAAACACCAATGTAATAGTCCTCGGGAGTTTGGTACCAGAGATGTGATCCAGACATGAGCAGGGACCTGAACACTATTAAGCTCATCTGGGACCCATGGCTCTGAGCTCCTCTCCTCTAGGCCTCACATATGTACTCACGCTGAGACTTTGCTACTTGGAGTGCAGGGATTACAAACATGAAGTCTGCCATCATTTCCTTGTACTGTATTTGAAGGGTCTGGGCATCTTCAGTGTCGTTCATATACTCTTCCATTAGCAGGTCACTACACTCGGGAGGTATCGTCTACACCAGGGAATCAGGAAGAATGAGTTAGGCAGGTTCTTGTTTTGATAGGCAGCAGCCTCAGTGTGGAGAATGAGGCCAGGGATAAGATATGGTGTAGAGGGAAAGGTATAAGTTCTGGGTGAGCCCTCCACAAACCACACACACAGATCTTTGTTTGCAGGCATACTGTCTGGAAGGACACATAGTGGCTCTTTCTATCAAAGGCAGTACTCAATTTGTCTTACCATCTGTGCTGTTGTGTTCTTCAGAATAGCCGGCAGGGTCTCTCTGGTTATGCCCTTTATCATTTGATCAACGCCCAACATCTGCGCTCACGAGAGGACAGTTTTCAGTATATGGTCAGCTGGATATGGATTAAGTTTCCTCTGCTCACCTTATGAGTCCCCAGACTTCCAGGGAATTGGAACTGTGCCTCACCATAGGGAGACCCCAGCCAAACTCGTCATTGTTGACACCAATGATGCTGGGGACAGGACGAAAATCCACAGAAGTCAACAGCTCTTGGGGATGCCTGGGTAGGAATACCCCATCTACCACAGCAGGGATGTGAGTGAAGACCTGAGGGACATTCAAGGTCAATGGTGAAGGTCAATTCTGATGTCCACTGAGAAACCCTAACTATTACCCCTGCCCCCATTTAATTGTCTCAGGATGTTTCTCCACCCCGATAGAGACTCCACATATATTAGGATATTTGGTATTCATTTTACACACATGATTAAGAGGATGCCAAACCATGAAACAGAAGTAATTTGTTTAGAGTAGTAAGGACTGACTCTCCCACAACCCATTGACCAGGTCCTCCAAGTCACACAACTCTCCCAACCTTGTTAATAGCCAGAATCTCCTCTGCACTCTTGTTTCTCAGACAGCGCACCAGGGTCTCTGAGTCCGTAGTCTCACACCCAGATAAGCTGGCCACTTTCTGTAAAGGGATCAGGCAGGAGTTGATCCATCCTTTCAGGCAAGTAGAAGAGTTTTCCCAACCCCAGATGTTTGGCATTGTGCCTAAATATCACATCGCACTTTGTACTGGTGAAATGAAGTGAGTATGAAATTCTCATTTTCTTGTTGCTCAGATGTGACAGCCAGAGGGGTCATTTTACCTACAGACTTTAAAAAGTAAGTTATGTGTGTTTGTCCATGAATGTGTGTGTGACTTCAGAAGTGCCTGTACCATGGTTTCCCTGCCAAGATTCGAGGACAACGTTTGGTTGCTACTCTTCACTTCCCGTCTTGTTTGAGAAATGATCTTTTATTATTTCTTACTGCCTACAAGAGTCTCTTATTTGTGACCTTTCAGGGATTTTTCTGGTCTCTGCTTCCTATCTCATCCTATGAATGAATACCAAGATCACACCCTTGTTACCGTATGCAGCTTTTTGTGGTTTCTGTGTAATTTGAACTCAGGTCCTTATGTTTTTACCTATTGAGCCATATCTTCAATCCATATGTATTTGTTTCTGAATATGATGGACACTATAAGGTACTTATGCATGGTTATTACATCCAGCTTGTACAGAGAGAAGTGTATTTCTAACCCTCAAATCTCTCAGAAAGTAATGAAAGATGCTGTTTCCCACACTCCTTGTTTCCCCAATTAAGAAAACTCCCAGAGTACCAGAGGGTGAAGGCTAAGGCTGTAGGGTCATCAATGGCTGAAGTCACTCACTGTGTAGACCACCTCAGAGGTGTTAGATATCAGGTCAGGTAGCAGGGCCACTCCACTCTCCATGATGGCTCTGTGGAAGAGTCCCTTTGACATGGGGGACACAACCTGTGAAGACACACTTGTGCCACCAGCAGACTCTCCAAAGATGGTGACAAGGTCAGGGTTTCCTCCAAAGTAGGCAATGTTCTGCTGGACCCAGCTCAGGGCAGCCACTTGGTCCAGATAGCCCCAGTTCCCTCTGGCATGCTCATCTCCAGTGCTGTGAAGACACAGAGAAGGAATCACAGGGCTGTCTTATTTCTCTTCCTCCCCTACTGCACAGTGCAGACCAGCCCCAGACTCACCTGAAGAAGCCCAGGACACCCAGGCGGTACTGGATAGTGACCACCACCACATCCTCCCTGGCTGCCAGCATGGATCCATCGTACGCAGAAGCCATACCCCCAACCAGTGCACCACCATGGATCCACACCATTACCTGTGGAAATCAAGTCAGATGCCAGGAGGTGCCCACCCAGCTCAAGTTCCACCTGGGGTGTCTTCTACTTTGTCTCAGTGTACTTAGACACACAGACAAAACTCTTCAGGACATCCTCACCTGGACCACAGGCAGGGCTCTAGTACCATCAGGATACTTGCTAGTCTCCTTCTCTAAGGACCCAAGCCTTAATTAATGGCTCTAAATCTGGAGTAATAGCATCCCCTACTCTCAGACGCCTATGAAATAGAATGAAAAATGGTATATTCATCAGTGATTCTCCTGATTGTTAAAAAAAAATCATTGGTACATAGCTGGTCATGGTGATGTATACCATTAACACCAGAGCTCTGGGACCAGCTAGGCTGCCTGTGGATTTCCCCACTCTCTGTTCCCCCAGACCCAATTCTCAGGGTCACCCCCAGCACTGCAACAGATCATCTCTTCCCAGCATTCCCAGGGAACACACCAGCTGAGCAGGCAGCACACTTTCTAAAAATCCAGAGAGGAAAGAGAAATTAAGTAACAAAACACACATCAAACAATGAGAAACCCAGAAAACAACACCTAGACCAATAGTCACCCCAATCCAGATGGCTAAATGCCAGCATAAGAACACAGTAAATAACAGCCAGGGCAATGCGTCTCCAATGGAGCCCAGCTATCCTACCACATCAGGTTCTAAATATTTCAACACAGCTGATAAAGACCTTAATATGAAGATGAAAGAGGTCCTGAGAGAGCAAATGAATAAATCCTTTAAAGAAAATGAAGAAAATAAAAGTAGTTGAAGGAAAGAAATAAAACTGTCCAAAACATGAAAATGATCATAGAAACAATAAAGAAAACATAAACTGAGGGAATCCTGGAAGTGTAAAGTTTAGAAATACGAGCAGGAACTACAGAGGCAAGCTTTACCAACAGAATACAGGAGATGGATGAGAGAATCTCAGAGTTTGAACAGACAATAAAAGAAATGAATACATTGGCCATAGAAAATGTAAATCTGAAAAAATTTTGACGCAAAATATCCAAGAAATCTGGGACACTGTAGAAAGAACAAATCTATGAATAATAGGAATAGAGGAAGGAGAAGAATATCAAATAGTTCAAAGGTCTAGAAAATATCTTCGACTAAACCACAGAAGAAAATTTTCCTAACTTAAAGAAGGAAATGCCTATACAGTTACAAAAGGCAAACAGAACACCAAATAGATTGGATCAGAAAAGTCCCTTCACCACATAATAATCAACACATACGGAACAAAGGAAGAATATTAAAAACTTTAAGGGAGAAAGATCAAATAATATATAAGGAAGACCTATTAGACTTACATTTAACTCCTCAATGGAGACTCTAAAAGATAGAAGGTCTTGGACAGATGTGCTAGAGACTCTAAGAGAACACAGGTGCCAGCCAAGATTACTATACTCAGCAAAACTTTCAATCAATTTAAGACATTTCATGATAAAATCAAATTTTTTATTTTATTTATTTTTATTTATTTATTAAGATTTTCCACCTCCTCCCGCCTCCCTTTTCCCTCCCTCTCCCCACCTCCCCCTTCCTCTCTAGTCCTAAGAGCAGTCAGGATTCCCTGCCTCATGGGAAATCCAAGGTCCTCCCCCCTCCATCCAGGTCTATAAAAATGAGTATCCAAAAAAAGCCAGGTTCCACAAAGTCAGTCCATACAGTAGAATCAAAACCCAGTGCCATTGTCCTTGGCTTCTCAGTCAGCCTTCATTGCCAGCCACATTCAAAGTGTCCAGTTACAATATCTATATACAAATCAGCCCCAAAGAAGGTACTAGAAGGAAAACTCTAAACCAAGGCTAATTGCACTCATGGAAACATAAGCAATAAATAAACTCACACTAGCAAAACCAAAAGAATAGAACGTACACACCAGCAGCAGCAGCAACAACAACAACAAAAAATAACAGGAATTAACAACCATTGATCATTGATATCTCTTGATATCAGTGGACTCAATTCCCCAATACTAAGACACAGATTACCAGAATGGTTACAAACACGGATCCATCCTTCTGCTGCATACAAGAAATACACCTCAATATTAGGGGTAGACATTAACTCAGGGTAAAAGGTTGGAAAAAGATATTCTAAGTAAACAAAGCCAAGAAGCAATCTTGTGTAGTCATTTTAATATCTAATAAAATTAATCAAAAGTATTAGGGAAGGATACTACATATTCATCACAAGAAAAAATACACCACAATGACATTTCAATTCTTAATATCTATCCCAAGCACAGACCTTCCCATTTTTGTAAAAGAAACACTATTAGACCTTAAGTCACATATTGACCCTCACACACTGATAGTAGGAGACTTCAATACCCTATTCTCACCAATGGATAGGTCATCTAGACAGAAACTAAACAGAGAGACGCTAGACCTAATTGATTTTATCAGCCAAATTAATATAACTGATATTTGGCTGCAATCTCGGTGGAACTCTGAAACACAGCTTGCTCCAATACTGAGGGGACCTAAGAGGTGCGTGAACAGCCACATGGCAAGATACCCCACTCACTAGGACCTCCCCAGAAGGACAACATCCCAGGCCCCTTCCCCAACTTCCTTGGCTTTTCTAGCCAGCCAGCACAGAGTTTCCTGTGGCTAGGATCCCCCAAAGCCCAAATCCATCCACTGGAGCCCCCAAGCTACTAACTACACTCCATCTAAGAGCTGAGAACTTGCTATGATACTGAGGGGACCAAGAGCATGCCACAACATTGATGGGATTAAGAGAGAACACCAAGAGAGCAAACTCGGAGAGAAGACCAAGGAATCATGTGCATAGAGACCTCAGAGGCTTTCTGAGACAGACATTGACAGTACAGAGCAGACCAAGAAAAACTCCCAAATACTCAGACAGTCACTGCAAGGATTGGGCCAAGACACAAAGAGACCGCTGTCCTCATTTGAAGGAAGAGATGGGTAGGCCCCAGTGCAAGCATTTCTCCAACAACCTAAAAAGCAACATGGTAACACCAGAACCCAGCAGTCACACATCAGGAAGACTTGATCATCCTAAACCAGAAGAATTAGAAGAAAATGACTTTAAACGTAGCTTTATGAAAATGATGGAGACCTTTAAACAATTCATCAAGATGAAGTCTCAATCTTGACTATTTATGCCCCTAATACAAGAGCACTCACATATGTAAAAGAAACATCACTAAAACTTAAACCACACATCAAACCCTACATACTAATAGTAGGAGACTTCAGCGCTTCACTCTCACCAATGGACAACCAGACACAAACTTAATAGAGAAATAAGAGAAGTAACAGATGCAATGAATCAAATGAACTTAACAGACATCTATAGAACATTCCACCCAAACCCAAAGGAATATACTTTCTTCTCAACACCTTGTGGAACCTTCTCTAAAATTGATCACATACTCAGTAACAAAGCAAACCTCCACAGACACAAAAAATTGGAGTAACCTCCTGTGTCTTATCGAATCACCAGGGATTAAAGTTAGAATTTAACAACAATACTACTCTAAGAAAGCCTACAAACTCATGGAAATTAAATAGTCAACTACTGAACCGCCCCTGAGTCAAGGAAAATATAAAGGAAGGGATTAGAGTCTTTCTTAAATTCAATGAAAATGAAGGCACAACATATCCAAACCTATGAGACACTATAAAAGCAGTGCTAATAGAAAAGTTGATAACACTAAGTGCCCACATAAAGAAAATGGAGAAAGCTCACATAAGTGACTTAACAGCACACCTGAAAGCTCTAGAACAAAAAGAAGCAGACTCACCCAGGAGGAATAGAAGACAGGAAATAATCAAATTGAGGGCTGAAATCAACAAAATAAAAACAAAGAATCAATGAAACAAATAGCTGGTTCTTTGAGAAAACCAACAAGATTGACAAACCCTTAACCAAACTAATCAAAAGGCGGGGGGAGAGCATCCAAATTAGCAAAATCAGAAATGAAAAGGGGGACATAACAATAGACACTGAGGAAATTCAGAGAATCATCAGGTCTTACTACAAAAACCTGCACTACACAAAATTGGAAAATGTAAAAGAAATGGACAATTTTTCAGATAGATACCATATACCAAAATTAAATCAAGACCAGGTGAGCAATTTAAATAGGTCTATAAACTGTGAGGAACTAAGAGCTGTCATCAAAAGCCTCCCAACAACAACAACAACAACAAAAAGCCCAGGGCCGAATTACTTTAGTGCAGAGTTCTACCAGAATTTCCAAGAAGTGCTAATACCTATAATCCTCCAAGTGTTCCACATAATAGAAGAATAAGGTACATTGCCAAACTCTTTTTATGAGGCTATAGTTACCCTGATACTGAAACCGCACAAAGACACAATCAAGAAAGAGAATTACAAATCAATCTCACTCATGAATATCAACGCAAAAATTCTCAATACTTGGATACTGGCACACCGAATCCAAGAGCACATAAAAAAAATCATCCATCATGATCAAGTAGGCTTCATCCCAGAGATGCAGGGCTGGTTCAACAACCAAAAATCTATCAGTGTAATCCATTATATAAATAAACATATAAAGAAAAAAACCATATGATCATTTGATTAGATGTTGAAAAACCATTTGACAAAATCCAACACCCCTTCATGATAAAGGTCTTGGAGAGAACATGGATACAAGGATCATATCTAATATAATAAAAGCAATATATACCAAACTGACAGCTAACATCAAATTAAATGAAGAGAAACTCATAGTGATTCCACTAAAATCAGGAGCAAGACTAGATTGTCCATTCTCTCCATATCTCTTCAACATAGTGCTTGAAGTTTTAGTAATAGCAAAATAAATAAATAAATAAATAAATAAATAAAAGGAGATTAAGAGGATTCAAATTGGAAAGAAGTCAAACTTTCATTATTTGAAGATGATATGATAGTGTACATAAGTAACCCCAAAAACTCTACCAGAGAACTTCTACAGCTGATAAATACTTTTAGTGATGTGGCAGGATACAAGATCAACTCAAAAAAATCAGTAGCCCTCCTATACACAAATGATAAAGAAGTTGAGAGGGAAATCAGAGAAACATCATCTTTCACAATAGCCACAAATAGCATAAAGTATCTTGGGGTAACAATAACCAAGGAAGTATAAAACTTATTTGACAAGAACTTTAAGTCTTTGAAGAAGATACAAGAAAATGGAAAGATCTCTTATGATCTTGGATAGGAAGAAGGATCAACATAGTAAAAATGGCAATCATACCAAAAGCAATTTATAGATCCAATGCAATCCCTATCAAAACCCCAACACAATTCTTTACAGACCTGGAAAGAACAATAATCAACTTCATATGGAAAAAAACCCCAGAATAGCCAAAACGATCCTGAATAATAAAGGAACTTCTGGAGGCATCACTATCCCTTACATCAAGCTATATTACAGAACTACAGTAATAAAAACAGCTTGTATTGGCATAAAAACAGGAACGATGACCAATGGAATGGAACTGAAGACCCAGATATTAATCCACACACCTAAGAAGATTGGACTTTTGACAAAGAAGCTAAAATTATACAATGGAGAAAAGAAAGCATCTTCAACAAAGGGTGCTGGCATAACTGGATGTCAACCTGTAGAAGAATGAAAATAGATTCATATCTATCTCCATGCATAAAACTCAAGTCCAAGACTTCAATATAAATCTGACCACATTGAACCTGATAGAAGAAAAAGTGGAAATAGCATTGGCACAGGAGACCACTTCGTAAATATAACCCCAGTAGCACAGACACTAAGAGCAACAATAAATAAATGGGACCTCCTGAAACTGAGAAGCTTCTTTAAAACAAAGGACACAGTCAATAAGACTAAAAGGCAGCCTACTGAATGGGGAAAGATCTTCTCCAACCCCATACCTGACAAAGGACTGATCTCCAAAATGTATAAAGAACTCAAGAAATTAGACAGTAAAATTATAAATAACTCAATTAAAAAGTGGTGTACTGAACTAAACAGATAATTCTCAACAGAAGAATTTCAAATGGCCAAAAGATACTTAAGGACATGTTCAACTTCCTTAGCTATCAGGTAGATGCAAATCAAAACAACTCTGAGACACCATCTTACACCTGTCAGAATGGCTAAGATCAGAAAAAACCAATGATAGCCTATGCTGGAGAGAATGTGGAGTAAGAGGAACACTCATCCATTGCTGGTGGGAATACAAACGTGTGCAACCACTTTGGAAATCAGTATGGCAGTTTCTCAGAAAATTGGAAATCAACCTACCTCAGGATCCAGCAATACCACTCTTGAGAGTATACCCAAAAGATGCTCAATCATACTACAAAAGCATTTGCTCAACTATGTTCATAGCAGCATTATTTGTAATAGCCAGAACCTGGAAACAACCTAGATGTCCTTCAACATCTAAATGACTAAAGAAAATATGACACATTTACATATTAGAGTACTACTCAGTGGTAAAAACAATAACATCTTGAATTTTGCATGCAAATGGATGGAATTAGAAAGCACTATCCTGAGTGAGGTAACTCAGACCCCCCAAAATAAATATGGTATGTCCTCATCATAAGTGGATTCTAGTCATAAACGAAAAACATTGAGCCTATAGTTCATGATCCTAGAGGAGCTAAGTAATAAGATGAACCCAAAGAAAAACATATATAGACCCACTTGGAAATTGGAAACAGACAAGATCGCCTGACAAAATTGGGAGCATGGGAGCAGGGGGTAGAAGGAAGGAGAGAAGGTAAGAGAAGGGGATAAGGGAAAGGTTGAGGAAAACTTGAGGGAATAGGATAGTTGAGATAGACAGATATGAGAGTAAGGAAAGAGATATCTTGAATGAGGGAGCCATTTTGGGGTTAGCAAGAAACATGGCTCTAGAAAAATTCCTAGGTATTCACAAGGATGACCCCAGCTAAGACCCTAAGCAATAGAGGAGAGGGTACCTGACCTGGCCTTCCCCTGTATTCAGATTGATGGTTATCTTAAATATCACCATAGAACCTTCATCCAACAACAGATGGAAACAGAGGCAGAGTCCCACATCAGAGCACTGAACTAAGTTCCCAAGGTCCAGTTGAAGAGTAGAAGGAATGAGAATATGATCAAAGAGGTCAAGACTATGAAGGGTTCATCCACTAAAACAGTTTACCTGAGCTCACCAACTCCAGCTGGACTGGGAAGGAACAAGCATAGGACGAAACTAGTCCCTCTGAATGTGGTTGACAGTTGTATGGCGGGGGAGACTGAGGTGCCACTGGCAGAGGCACTGGGATTTATCTCTACTGCATGTACTGACTTTTTGGGATCCCATTCTCTTTGGATGTTTACCTTGCTCAGCCTAGGTGTAGTAAAGAGGGACACAAAACAAAGTACCTTACCCTCTCTTAGGATTACAGGGGGGTAGGGTGGGAAGGTGTGTGGATGGAATGGGAAGAAGGGAGGGAGTGGGAATTCGGATTGGTAGTTTTCTAAAAATAATCTAATAAAAAAATTTTAAAAAAACAGATATTTACAGAACATTCCACCCAAATGCAAAAGAATATACCTTCTCAGCTCCTCATAGAAACTTTTTCAAAATTCACCACTTAGTTGGTCACAAAGCAAGTCTCAACAGATACAAGAAAATTGAGGCAATTCCCTGCATCCTATCAGACAAATGCAAACTAAAGCAGGATATCAACAAGAACAGAAACAACCGAAAGCTTACAAACTCACAGAAAGTGAGTAACTCTTTACTGAATGAAAAATGGGTCAAGACAGAAATAAAGAGAGAAATTAAAGGCTTTCTAGAATTCAATGAAAATGAATACACAGCACACCCAAACTTATGAAACACAATAAAGATTGTGCTAAAAGGAGAGTTTACAGCATTAAGTGCCCACATTAAAAAAAAAAAATTGGAGAGCGCTCATACTAGTAACTTAACAACACACCTGAAAGTTTCTAGAACAAAAAGAAGTAAACATACCTAAGAGGACAAGAGAGCAGGAGATATCAAACTGCAGAAATCAACAAAATACAAACATAGAGAACAGTACAAAGAATCAATAAAACAAAGAGTTGGGTTTTTTTGAAAAAATCAACATAATAAACAAACCCTTATCCAAACTAACTAAAATACACAGAGAGATAATCAAAATTAATAAAATCAGAATAACCAAATTAGTAAAATTTGAAAAGGGACCATAACAACAGACACCAAGGAAATCCATAAGGACATGCTTTCAAAATCTGTACTTCACCAAATTAGAAAATTTAAATGAAACGGATAATTTTCTCAATAGGTGTCACTTACCAAAGTTAAATCACAGTCAAATAAACAATTTAAATATACCTATAACCCCCAGTGAAACAGAAGTAGTCATTAAAAGTTTCTCAATAACAACAACAACAAAAAGCACAGGCCAGATGGCTTTTATCGAAGAATTATACCAGACTTTCTAAGAAGAATTAATATATGAGAGAGGATCTATTTTCAATTAAAAGAATTACCATACCTATGGAGGCAGAGATCAAAGATTGAGACCAGCCTTGTCTATACAGTGAGTCAGTCAGGGTTATAGAAAGAGACCCTTTCTCAAAACAAGAGAAAAAATCCTTGGCACAATGAATAGTCCATGCCAATAAATTTTCAAGAGCTCAGGATTTAGCTCTCAGGCCTCTGGTAGGTAGTGTGAAACCTGAGTTGATCAAGAAGCCATAGCCACTGACTTCCCAGAGTCTTTAGGTGTCTGTGTTCCATACCTAGGGTTTAGTTGCATGCCATGGCAGAGAAGGCTTCGTGGACACCTGACAGGGAGGGCTTCTCATCAGGGTCTCACACTGATTTTGCCCCTTTTAGTCATAGCGAAGTTGATTAAAAGCCTACTCCAGATCTGAGTATGGCTTCCACTCACGGTCAGGTTAGAGCCCTCACGGGCATGAGCTGGTGTGTAGATGTTGAGATACAGGCAGTCCTCAGATGTTGAGATGGAAGGCACACTCTGTTTTATCATTGCCAGATTTTCTGCAACCACTGTTTCAGAATTTTGTAGACATCTGGGGACAATGACAATTATTCTAAGAGATGCACAGTAATTAAAATTAAAAGCAGATTCCTAGTACATATTTATCTCAGCCACCAAAACCCCTCTTTTTGGCCCCATGATGTCCTGATAACATGAGATCCTACTCCAAAATCTCTTCCAACTAAGGTAAATGTCACAGACTTTGGGAAAACTTCTAGGGAGACTGCCAGATGGGTCTTTGGATCCCACTCTTGCTGATGATGGGATATTGATGAACTTCTGTGAAAACTATTGGTGTGTACAGTGAAACCATTTTTTGTACTCTTCAAGGTCTAGATATTGGGTCCTGTACCTGTATAGGTGTTGCATTAATAAACAGGGTGGTGGGACATCTTTCACCTCATATCCAGACTCTGAAGGAACTTCCTTTTGGCCAATGGTACCTGGACACTTATAGGTTGGTCCAGTGATTGTGGAGGATGATTTTGCTAAGGAGCCATCACCACTTTGGCTTTTCTCTGGCATCTGCAGCATATTCCCATCACAGAGAGAATGCAGTGGAGGGCAGGAGATGGAGAAATCACTGCAGTCTGGCTCAGGTTCTGACCTCCTGTCCATTTCAGGACCTGTTATTTTCTGGGTCTCAGGAGGACTTACCTGGATGGGTAGGTAGTCCCATCCCTCACACCACTCCATGGTTCAGGAGGCTCAGGAGGTGCAAATCTCAGTTCTCCTAGAGGTGGCTTGGCAAAGGGAATTCCCAGGAAGATGTAGACACCCTCTTTGGTGTCTTTCAAGTAGGTAAGACTCCCCTGCACCTGTCCTGTGTGGGTAGTCCTGATGGGGTGGGCTGAGTCTTCACCTGTAAGTGACATAGGATATCAAGGTTGGGTTTGCCCAATCATCTACCTTCATACTATGGATGTTACTTCTTTCTTGCTTTCCTCAATTCAGTCTTTTCAAAGTACCCACTTCCCTGACAATTTGTCTCCACAGCACCATGTTCCAGTGTAGAAGAATTTGGCAGACCTGTCTGATGTGGAATTTCCCTCAGTATGCTATGAATATCATTGGTTAATAAAGGACTGTCTTCGGCATATGCAGGGCAGAATAGAAGTGGGTGGGGAAAGCTAAACTGAATGCTGGGAGAAAGAAGGCAGAATCAAGGAGACACCATGGAGCCACCAGAGGGGAAAGACATGAGCTGCCAGTTGGAAACTCAGAAGTAAGACACCGCCACGTGGTGATACACAGAGTAATAGAAATGGGTTAGTTTAGGATATAAGAGTTAGCTGAAAATATGCTGAAGCTATTGGACAAATAGTATTGCAAATAATATGGTTTCTGCGTGTGGTTGTTTCAGGGCTGAGCATCCAGGAATGAACAAGTGGCTTCCTACTACAGCTGTCCTATTTCCATAAAAAGTAAAAATCTTCCACACCTGATAAACATGGATGGCATGTTTGGTGCTACTTGATGTGGTAACAAGTAGCCAAGGCAGCAACCACTCTCAGGGACCAGAAGGCAATTTGCCAAAATCTTTCCAGTGCTTAAAACTCACTCCTATCGCCAGGGATACACTGTCTTCAGGACACTATGCCACAAGCCATATCTACTTATATAGATCTCTGAGGACTTGCACCACTAATATCTGTCAGTGCTACAGCAAAAGGCAAAACCTGCTGAAATTGGTTTGTTAAGAGTCAGGCTACAGTCAGGATGCTTCACCCCCAAGAGAAGCTCTCCTTGGAATCTCACCTATTGGAGTGAGTGTGCTTCAGTCAGGAGGCAGGAAAACAGCCCAGAAAGGGATGGTTTGTGATAAATTTGCTAAAAATAAAAAACTATGCATAAATTTACCTTTTATTTAAAAATAAAACATTGAAGTTTATTAAGGAGAGATTCTTTTTCTCTCTTTTTTTCCTGGTTTTTCTAGACAAAGTTTCTCTGTGTAAAATCTCTGACAGTCTGAAAACTTGCTTTGTAGAGTAGGCTGGCCTTGAACTCACAAAGATTCACCTGGCTCTGCCTCCCAAGTGCTGAAACTATATGGATGCACCACCACCACCACCCCCCCCAGCTAAGTAGAGAATCTGATTTTGAATGGCATGTGGGGAAAGGATACCACATCTCTCATTACATGTACAGCCTTCTCAAGAGTTACTGTGTCATTATAACAGCTGTATGTGCAAAAGGGGGGCCCATGAAAAGTAAAAAAAAAGTTGCAAAAAATTTCCTGTAATTAAATAAACAAATGTCATCTATGTCATACTTAAAATCAAAAGTCATCAATGATTGGGTTGCCTTCTGACTGTTTATGTGATGCTTTAAATTCCTGATTTTAAGCTCAATGTCCTTTAATTATGGCTAGAATCCACTTATGAGTGAGTACATACCATATTCATCTTTTTGGGTCTGGGTTACCTCACTCAGGATAGTGTTTTCTATTTCCATCCATTTCCATGCAAAATTGAAAATGTCATTGTTTTTTACCGCTAAGTAATACTCTAATGCATATATATTCCACACTTTCTTTATCCATTCTTTCATTGAAGGGCAGCTAGGTTGTTTCCAGGTTCTGGCTATTACAAATAAAGCAGCTATGAACATAATTGAACAAATGATTTTGTAGTATGATTGGGCATCTCTTGGATATATTCCCAAGAGTGGTATTGCTGGATCCTGGGGTAGATTGATCCTGAATTTCCTGAGACACCGCCACACTGATTTCCAAAGTGGTTGCACAAGTTTGCATGGTATGTACTCCCTCATAAGTGGATGCTAGCCATAATTAAAGGACATTGAGCCTATAATTCGTGATCCTAGAGAAGCTAAATAAAAAGGTGAACTCAAAGAGGAAAATATAGTTACCTCCTGAATGTTGGAAGTAGACAAGATTTCCAGGCAAAAATTGGGTGATTGGGGGTGGGGGGGTGGGGGTAAGGGGAGACAGGGAGAGAGAAGTGAGAAGGGGAAGATGGGAAAGCTTGGGGGAATGGGACGGTTGGGATGGAGGAAGGGTGGATATGGGAGCAGGGAAGTAGATATCTTAATTAAGGGAGCTATTTTAGAGTTGTCAAGAGACGACTCTAGTGGGGTTCCCAGGTGTCCAAGGAGATGTCCCCAGCTTATTCTGTGGGCTGCTGAGGAGAGGGCATCTGAACTGATCCTATACTATAGCCACACTGATGAATATCTTGCATATCACCATAGAACCTTCATCTGGCGATGGATGGAGATAGAGACAGAGACCCACACTGGAGCACTGGATTGAGCTCCCAAGGTACAAATAAGCAGCAGAAGGAGCGAGAACATGAACAAGGAAGTCAAGGATGCGAGGGGTGCACCCACCCACTGAAATGGCAGGGCTTATCTAATGGGAGCTCACCAAGGCCATCTGGACAGGTGATCAAATCGGACTCTCTGAATGTGGCTGACAATGAGGGCTGACTGAGAAGCCAAGGACAATGACACTGGGTTTTGATTCTACTGCATATACTGACTTTGTGGGAGCCTAGTCTGTTTGGAAGTTCACCTTCCTAGACCTGGATGGAGGGGGAAGGACCTTGGACATCCCACAGGGCAGGGAACCCTGACTGCTCTTTGCTCTGGAGGGGGAGAGGGAAGGAGAGTGGGGGAGGGGGAAGAAAATGGGAGGAGGTGGAAATTTTTAATAAAAAATAAATAAATTCCTGATTTTGCTATGGTAAGTATTGCTGTCCAAGTTTACTTCCAGATGTCTTCCTTCTGATTATTACCGATACTGAAATTGCTGTGATATTCTGTTTTAACATTTCTACATTTACCACCCCACCAGACAGGTTCTTGTGTAGCCCAGGCTGGCCTGCAGCTGGAAAGCCTTCTACCTTCTCTGCCTCACCTAGAACACCATTTACAGGTGTGTGCCGTTACACCAGCTCACACCTATCTCATCTTGATGTCCCATGGATGAGCCTGGTCTGGGTGGTGCACAACTCTGTGCCCTCTTATAGTTATCAGTGATTCTGAACCCAGGATCCAAAGAAGAATGTTCAAATAAGCCAAGAGTGAGTTGGGCAGATCTTCCCATCCAGAAGTCCCTGGTGACATCTCAGAACCCAGACAACAACAGGCAAGAGTCACAGTGTGAAGTCCTTATGGCCTCCTTAGGGTAAGACTGATTGAGGAGGCCTGGCAGGAGGTCATCTTGACTCAGACTTGAACACTTTCGGGTAGGAGGCCTCAGGGCTGCACACTGACCCTGGGCACAGTACCCTCCTGACTCACCTTTTCATAAGCCTGAAGACTTTCTGGCAGACACAGAGCACATGCCCTTTGCCTCAGACTCTAAGTTGTACCTTTTCCAAAGGTCAGAAAATGAGAAAGGAAACACAGGCCTCTCAGGTGGGCAACTGTTGTAGGGCTGGAGACCTGTATGACTGAGGGCCAGGAAAATTTCCCAGGACTGTTTGGAGTATACCATGATGCTTCTCTGTCCGAGAGGGTGACCCATTTGGAGTTCAATGCTAGTAGGAAGGTGTAATTAATTTTATTATTACCCATGGGTCAGCAAGAGCTCCAGTCACAGAAAGGGGACATGGCCCATCTGTCCCTCTGTCCCCAACACTCTTCCCTCTGACTTTCAGGCCCAGGGCTTGTCAGAGTAGCCCTCTGTACTATTGAGTGTCCTCAGACATCACTGACTCTCTGGGTTACAGGGGCCACTTTTCCACTCTGTCATCTCTACCTGATCCTCCTCCCTTGCTACCTTTCCTACCACAGCCTCAGCCTCTGACTCTCCCAAAATTGGCAACTCTGGCCCCCACCACCCACGTAAGGAGTCTCACCATCTGCACGGAGAAGAAACACAAGAGCACAGGTTACAGCAATTACCAGAAGCCCACAGGCTCCAGCAATCAGCCAAGCACGACGTTTGCAGGACGGCATGATCAGCTCTGAGGCCCGAGTCTGTGCTGCTATGGGATGCACTGTGTGCAGGAAGCAGAATATGTGGACTCTGTCTAGACAATTATTTGAACCCTAAGATTTATAGGCAGGAGCTTAGTGGGCGGGGCAAAGTTGCAGGAGAGCAGCAACTAAGCAGAACTGATAGGAACCAGGGTTCAGAAGGTGGGGCAAATGCTTTTCTGCAATGTGACTTCCTTTTATAATCTCTCTGGAAGGCACAACATAGCTTCAGAAACTAATTCTGATATGAGCAACCATCACCTCAAACCTGCGGTCACCATGTTTACTGTCTTTGGAGTCACAGGTCCAGTGTAGGTGTGGACAGAAAGCAAGGAACAGACATCTATGGTAGCCAGGGTTGCTCTTCTAAGGAGGTGTGTGCTGTGAGATTTCCACAGATGCGTGGAATGAATGCTTGAGAATTGTCCTCTTGATAAAGGAAGAGCAGGAGCAAGCCCAGGGTGCCCTCGGCACTCCCTTTACTCCCAAGCTTCTTGTTTTCTTGAGTCATAATTCACAAAGTCTGCATTCAGGTCTCTCTTCTCTTACAGTGATCTATTTTTATGGTTTTTATTGAGCTATATATTATTCTCCACTCTCCTTTCTTCCTCCCCTCTACCCTTATAACCTCTCCTGAGATCCCCACACTCCCAATTGACTCAGGAGATCCTGTCTTGCTCACCTTTCTATGTAGGTCCATGTGCATCTCTCATAGGGTCTTCTTTGCTGTCTAGTCTCTCAGGTTGTGACCTGTAGGCTGCTTTTCTTTGCTTGATGTCTAAGAGTCACTTATGAGTGAATACATGATATATTTGTCTTTCTGGGTTTGATTTACATCACTCAACATGGTTTTTTTTTCTAGATCCATCCATTTGCCAACAAATTTTAAGGCGTAATTATTTTCACCTTGTAGTATTCTATTGTGTAAATGTACCACATTTTCTTTATACATTCTTCAGTTGAGGGGCATCTAGGTTGGTGCCATGTTCTGGTTATTACAACTAATGCTACTATGAACATAGTTGAGCACATGTCCTTGTGGTATGATTAAGTGTCTTTTGGGTATATAACCCAAAGCAGTATTGCTGGACCTTGAGGTAGTTGGTTCCTAATTTTTGGAGAAATTGCCATACTGATTTCCAAAGCAGCTATACAAGTTTTCACTCCCATCCGCAATGGAGGAGCATTCCCCTTACCCCACAACCTCTCCAGCATAAGTTGTCATCAGTGGTTTTGATCTTGGCCATTCTGATGGTGTAAGATGGAATCTCAGAGTTGTTTTGATTTGCATTTCTCTGATGGCTAAGGGTGTTGACCATTTTCTTTAGTGTCTTTTAGCCCTTTGAGATTTTGCTGTTGACAGTTCTCTGTTTAGGTCTGTGCCCCATTTTTTATTGGATTATTTGTTCTTTCAATGTCAAATTCCTTGAGTTCTTTGTATATTTTGGAGATAAGTCCTCTGGAAGATGTGGGGTTGATGAAGATCTTTTCCCAATATGTAGTCTGCTATTTTGTCTTATTGACTGTGTTCTTTGCTTTACAGAAGCTTTTCAGTTTCTAGAAGCCCCATTTATTAATTGTTGCTCCCAGTGTCTGTGCTACTGGGATTATATTTAGGAAGTGGTCTTCTATGCCAATACATTCTAGTGCACTTCCCACTTTCTCTTCTATGAGGTTCAATGTGGTTGGTCTTATGTTGAGATCTTTGATCCATTTGGACTTTGAGTTTTGCATGGCTATAAACATGGATCTATTTGAATTCTCTTGCATGTTGATATCCAGTTATACCAGCACCATTTTTTGAATATCCTTTCTATTTTCCGATTTCTGTTGTTAGTTTCTTTGTCAAAATCAACCTTTTGTAGGTGGGTATATTGAAATCCAGTTCTTTGATTAGATTTCATTTGTACTCCTGTCTGTTTTCATTACAGTAGCTTTATAGTAGAGTTTGAAGTTCGGGACTATGATGCTTCCATAAATTCTTTTGTTGTACAGGACTGTTTTGACTATCCTGAGGTTTTTGTTTTCCATATGAAGTTGAGTGTTATTCTTCCGAGATCTGTAAAGAATTTTTCTAGAATTTTGATGGGCATTGCATTGAATCCATTCATTTGTTTGGCTAACATTCCCCCTAGGTATTTTGTGTTATTTGTGGCTATTGTGAAGGGTGATGTTTCTCTGATTTCTTTTTTGGCCCATTTATCATCTGTTACAGTGGTGACCTTAAGTCTATACATACCCCTCTTGGTGAAGCCATGGCTATTTCAATTAGATTCACTGCAACTCTGACAACTTATTTGTTTTTTATTATACAGTTTTTTATGATTATTGATGAGATTTTATATGCCATAAAATTAATGATCTCACAAATTGCTTTTCTGTTCATAAACAGATATTATAAAAGTATATAACACTAAGTATCTCTGTAGTCAATCAAATTATTAACTTTTTATGATTCTATAAAATCATGACCAAATTGCCTAATAACACATGTCTAATAACACATTGTGTATGAATAGGCACATGTGCTTTCCTCATTCCCCTTCTTCATAAAAATATGACTCATTAATGTTTTATTATGACACTTTGTACATTCTGTCATGTTTATAATCATATTCTCCCTGAATATCTTCTCTTGCCTTCTTTCTATCTCATCAATGATCCCTTCCCTCCCAATAGCCTGCTTTTCATTTTTAAATGTTTTCATTTTAATTTTTAAATTTTATCAGTAAGGTTTTACCTACATGCATGTATAATGCACTTTGTGTATTCCTGGTGCCCCACAGAGGCTGAAAAAGAGTTGGATCCCCTGGAACTAGAGTTATGGTTATGAGCTGCCATGAGGTCAAATGGAACTCAGATTCTCGCGAGAGCCACAAGTGCTGTTAATCACTGAGTCACCTCTCCAGCCCCTATTTCATCTCCATTCTCTCTCTCTCTCTCTCTCTCTCTCTCTCTCTCTCTCTCTCTTTCTCTCTCTCTCTTTCTCTCTCTCTCTCTCCTTCCCTTCTTACCCCTGTCCCTGGTTTGTGTATTTAGGCCGATGTGACATACTTTGTTCATCAGTACATGAACCGCCAGGCAGATGCTAATAGGTACCCAGGCAAATGGTGGCACATATGGAGCTCCAGAAGCAGGCAGACAAGCTTACAGACAGGTGACACATACAGTTGGCTTGGTGAAGACATCGACACCCAGCTATGGCTTCAATTAATCAGCAAATTAGCCTGCTTAGATATTCATGGAAAAACCTTTACTTATCTCAATAATGTCTCTACCATAACCAATAAATATTTGGTCTTTTTTATAGGTGGCTTGTGAGTGAAATTAGTCCCCCGGTCCTGGCCAGTCTTACCTCAAAAGGCAGTGTTCTGATGTCCCTGGGGCATGTCAGGCAGGACTGGGTAACCTTATGGGGATTTCTGAGAAGGGACAAATTCCATTAATTGTGAGAGGAGATTAGGGGCAGTAACCCCTATGGAATTGGTTATGGAGGGTTGTTAAAATGGTAAATCTTTTCCAGGTAAAATTATTTTTAACCCTTAACAAACTAACCTTGATATGAGGCTACTCCCTCTTTGGAAATTTTTTTTTCTCAGAAGAGACAGGAGAAGGGTAAATGGGCAAGGCAATAAGGATCAAAGAGAGGTTTATGACTAGGAATTTAGTTCTCCTGTCAACCTGAGGATTTCCTAGACTAATAATGACAGAATTAAATTCTTGGTGCCCCAGCAATGAAGGATATCTGCCCACTGGGAACAAAAGGTAGCCTGCAAAACTTTCAAAAGCTGGGTGGTGGTAACACATATCTTTAATCCTGGCACTTGGGAAGCAGAGGCAGATGGCTCTTTGTGAATTTGAGGCCAGCCTAGTCTACAAAGTTCCAAAACAGTCAGAGATATACAATGTCTCTGAAAAAAAGAAAAAAGGAAGAAAGAAAGAAAAAAGAAGAGAAAAAAGTCAAGGTGCAATTAATTCTAGACGAGTCATTGGCAGTTAGGACTCCTCTCTTTCCATGTAGGAATTCATGATATGGAAGATGTGTTTGGCACCTGAATAGATATTGCTAACAGATCCTTAGTCAAAGTTAGTGTGCTCTAGTTAATACAGTAAGTTCAGCTTGTTATGGCATGATCCCTGGGAGGAGGGGCCCTATCCAGTAGCTTAGCCAGATGTGGCTATTGTCCTGTTTGTGTGACTTCCTGAGTTTAAGCTGTACTCCTGTCTATACATCACATGAAGGATTGAAGGGGCAAGGGAGAACCAGAGCTGCTAGGGAAGGAGTAAGAGAGTGATTTACTGTCCAGGACAGTGGGGAGAGGAGGATTTTCTGGGTTTGAGGGAGCAAGGAGAGAGTGATGCCGCTTAACTGAACAAAGCCATGCCAGAGGTTTGAGGTAGAGTGGCAAGGAGAGCTTGGCGATGGGTGGGGAAATGACTTCAAAGCAACCATCTTAGTTAGGGATTCTAATGCTGTGGGAAGACACCACGAGCACTGCAACTCTTACAAAGGAAAACATTTACGGGAACTGGGTTACATTTCAGAGGTCTAGTCCATTATTGTCACAGTGGGGAGCATGGTGGCAAGCGTGGCAGTGTGCAGGCCGACGTGGTGCTGGAGAAGGAGCTGAGAGTCCTGCACCTGGATCTGAAGGCAGCAGAAAGAGACCAAGACACTCTGGCCAGGCTTGAGCATTTGAGACCTCAAAACCCACCCCCATGACACACTTCCTCTAACAAAGCCACACTCATTCGAACAAGGTCCCACCTCCTAATAGTGCCACACACTATGTGCCCATGGGAGGGCATTTTTACTCAAACCACCACATCTCGTATTTATACTTCTCTTCTACCACATTTTGAAGCTCCTCCACTATTGCACATACCTAAACAGGTCTTGGTACTTTGCATAAAGGGTAACTCATACCTTTATTCATGAAGTAGCTGGACCATTTACAATTCTGCCTGGGTTGGGCTGTTGTAGTTTCCCATTGACCTTAATAACAGGACATGATATCACCAAGGAATGCCTTAAAGTA